CTCGCACACAAAATGGGCGCAGGCATCCATGGGGTTTCTTGTGCCTGTCAGGTTCCCTGGGTCGTTCAACCTCGATGGCGTCCGCGAGGCCAAGACCATCGGCGAGTTCGATCGCCACTTCATCGCCCCCATCTTCGGCTTTGCTGACAAGAAGGACTACTACATGAAATCGGCGTCCAAGCCGCACCTGCCCTTCATCCGCACCCCCTACATGGCCATCAACGCGCGGGACGACCCATTCGTTGACGATGAGTCGCTTCCACAGGAGCGTCACGTCGACCACGTGGCCAAGCAGCACACCGATGACGTCGGCGCGCCGGTGCGGCTCGTGTATACCGAGAAGGGAGGGCATTGCGGGTTCTACATGGGCAAAGGGGGGTGGTCGCTCGCTGAGGAGATGGGGAGGTTCTTGGGCGATGTGGACAGAGCCCATAATGGGCTGCTGTGAAGGCATGAGTGCGCGTGTGTGTATGAGGGAGTTGGGGGCTTTTTGCCGTTTTGGACAGCAGTCGATGCATTGCGCAGCAATGGACAGTTTTGTGTGTGTGTGGATCCATTGGGACGAGGGCGGGAGTGGAATGACTCACTCATGGCTCGTTCGTCAACAGATGTGTGCGTGCCGAGGGAGTGTCTTCACGGGCATGAAGCGTATGTCTTCTCTCTCTCTCCCTCTTCTTGTATATGTGTGTGTCTGTCTGCAGGTCGTAAACCGCGGGCAACAGGGGCGGCCGTCATCCATCCATTTCGTGACAAACAAGATGTGCCCCTTCGCCCAGCGCACCTGGATCGCTCTGGAGGAGGCGGGCCTGCCTTACAAGCTGACAGAGGTCTCACTCTATGGCGCGGGGGGCAAGCCAAAGTGGTTTCTAGACCTCAACCCAAAGGTACCAACACACACACACACACACATGCGTTCGTTCATTCCCTCTGTCTGTCTGTCTGTCTGTAATGGCAGGGCCTGGTGCCCGTACTCGTCATCGACGGCCAGCCTGTGGCGGAGAGCGAGGCCACCCTCGACGCCATCGCCGAGCTCGCCCCGTCCCTCGCCACCCCCACCCCCAGCAAGCGGCAGCAGTGGCGCGACATGCTCGAGCAGCGGCTGATCCCCGTCGGCAAGGCGGCGGTGCTCAACCCATCATCGAAGAACATGGCCGCGCTTCGAGTAGTCATTGCCGAGTGGGAGGCTAAGCTGCGGGAGAGGCCGGGGAAGGGCCACTTTCTGTGTGGCGAGGCCTTGTCCATCGCCGACGTGTCAGCGGTGCCTTTCTGGAGCCGATTGCAGGAGGAGATGGACTGCGTGGGTGCTGAGGAGTTCCCTCTCACACACGAGTGGCTGGCGGCGTGCAGGGCAAGGGAGGCGGTCCGCCGCACTCAGATGAGTTCATGGTGGTGGTGGTGGTGACGTGAAGAGAACAGAGCAGATACATAGACTCCGTTGGTGCCGGCTGCATGCATGACAGTCGTGACAATGAATTCGCCAAGCTAGCAATCATCAAATCAGATCGCCGTGCTGGCGCATAATGCCAGCCAGGCTCATGCAGCAGCAGCAGCAGCAAATTAAGCCAGGTGGGCTGGAGTGCACGTGGTAAAGGCGCACACAATTTGACCCGAGCTTTGTGTGTGTGTGTGTGTGACTGGCTCGAGCCATGAAGGGCAATGTAGCCGCCATGAATGCCGCAAGGCTGCCCAAACCTGATGACGATGAGGTGAACCGTCCATCCATCCACACGCATACCATCACACCACCGCTCATTCTCTCATCTCTTTCTCTGGTTATGCAGGAGACTGAGCCTCAAGATCACGCCGCCCATAACAAATGTCAGCGAGGTGCGCAAGGTCAGCGAGGTACGCACACACACACACACACACAGATGGACGGATGGGATGAATGGATGGGTGTGGTGGATGTTGTGGTGTGGTGTACATGTGTGGTGTGTGGTGTGTGCGAAGGTCGGGGCCATTCTGCATCAGGGCATGAGCCTCTTGCCTAACTGGCGTCAACCTGACGCCCAACAAGCAGCTAACAAGGCCGTGGCGGTCGACTCAACCATCCAGGGCAACTCGCAGACAGTAAGTACACACACTCACACAGACAGACGGGAGGGTGGGGATGGATGGAGGGATGGATGGATGGGCCCATCCGGCCATGTCATTGGTGTGTGGTGCGCAATTTTCGATTCAGATGGAGTTCAAGCACAACCTGGTGCTGCGCGGTGCCTACCTGGAGCAGGAGGCCAACCCTCCCTTACTACATGAACGTAGCCTTCAAGAAGGCGCTGGTGAGTCACTGTGGTGAGTCGGTGACCCACACCAACCACACATGTACACGGAGATGAACCACACACGCATTTGACGGATGCGCAGCGCTGCCACCTCAAACTGAGAGGCTCTGTTCAACGGCAACCTTGTACACGTCGGTTACATATTTGTATGGCGTGAGGCCCTCCAGCCAGACACAGACCATATCTCGGAAATCCCTACGCTACAGATTTCCGTCTTGGTGAGAGGACCTCACATGCCGAGTTTCAGGCCGATTGGCCAAGAAGCCGCAGAGTTGTTTGCGATTTGGTGCCGATGGACATAAGAAACGTCACGTCGACCTAAGGAAAAGTCTACACAGAAAGCATTTCTCGGGAATCCCCACGCTACACATGTGGGGAAGTGAGTGAGGCGTCCGCTCACCGAGAATCGTGGCCTGGGACCCTCAGGCCGTTGAGTTGTTAGCATTTTTCGACGGCCATGTCATGTGTACGTATATATCGACCCACCAGCATCTCCACAAACAACACCCATCTCCAAAAGCCGAGCTGCGTAAGCTGACAGGCGCACTCAGGGGCCTTCCCATGCCGATTTCCAGCCCGATTGGCCAAGAAGCCGCAGAGGAGATAGCGATTTTGTGTCGATGGACACATAGAACGTCACGTCGACCTAAGGAAAAGTCCACACAGAAAGCATTTCTCGGGAATCCCCACGCTACACATGTGGGGAAGTGAGTGAGGCGTCCGCTCACCGAGAATGGTGGCCTGGGACCCACAGGCCGTTAAGTTGTTAGCATTTTTCGACGGCCATGTCATGTGTACGTATATGTATGGATGAGATCTATCAGCAGCGATGGTGCAAAAGCTTCAACTCGAGACGGGGCTTGCAGACTGG